CTGCACACAGACAAACCAAAAAACATTTTCAAGTCTTGTTTATTCATGTACAATAAAAGGATCTGTGGTAGTCTAACACAGAACAGTTAAATGTCACATTAGACTCCACAGGGGCCGCTCAACAGGCTGAGCACACACTTTGCAAGCAGGAGGCCAGGGTTCCATCCCTATCACCAAATGATGGTCTGAGACCACCAGCAGTAAGCAGCAGTCCCTGACCAACACCCAGGTATATCCTTTCCACCCTGCCCCCATTAAGACAAGCTTCATTCATTCTATCCTCCTTGTATGTGTTCAGAGCTCAACCACTACTTCCACCTTACTATTTGCAACATAGCTGCTAATTTTTCTACACAGGTTCCTCTTCTAAGATTCACATGTGTTGTCTTTTTTATTAGATTCCAGCAGATTTTCTAGAATTCAATTTCAGAAATAATCAACTAGTAAGGTTCAATGTCTCTAAAGCCTCTTTTCCTTCCAGGTCAACTTAATGATTTACTTGTCATTTATCAAATTAACACGGGTATAAAGTAGAATAAATTACAGATAGGATAATACTGCGTAATTCTTTAGTGGTTCATAATTGTAACAGGTAACCTGCTGCTTCCTGTTTCAAATAACATCTACTAATTTAAATAAATTAATACACTAAATTCTTTCCCAAAACAGTGTTTTGACCAAATGATTAAATGTTAATAGAGAAAAACATAAAATATACCAAGAATCCAATTACCTACCAACCACTAATAATTATATTGAGTTTTAAGTCAATGGTGTCAGTTAAGAGATAACTTTATACAACATTTATCATTTTTGGAGAATGATCACATTTGAAACCACAACCCAGTGAAACAAAGGAAGCACACCTTCAGTTGACAGAAGGAACAAAGATTTTGAAAGCTAAATGACCTGCTCACGTCCAGTGAGGAAACTAGAGAAAGGATGAACCCCAAATCTTCGGAAACCAGTTCTCCTTCCTTCGGAACAATGGTTCTTGATGGCTTCTGTTCACTAAACCTGCAGACTCCGAAGCACTTACAATCTTCAGGCATAATTTCAGGGAGTTCACGGCCATAATATTTATCAGCAAACAATGTCAGCTAAATCTCATGTGCAAACAGAAAGTATTCAAAGAAATAGTACTAGATTTATTTCATTCTCAGATAGACCTAACACTTAACAAGCTCTGATTATATCCATCAAGGTACTTACTTGTTAAAAGATGAGTTAGATGAAACACTATAGGTGACATTCCAGAGATTAACTAAAATTTGGCCAAAAACTGGTATTGTGTACTTATTGTCATTTCATTTAAAAAAATACTTGTCATTTATCAAATTAACTATATATTTAGTACTATATATATATTTGGACAGATGACATGAGTTTGTAAACTCAATACCACTTACTACTATCTTATTTATTAGAAGAAAAAACCCACTCCTGCACTAACAGCTATGGTTAGAAAAGGTCTACTGAGGGCATCATGTGAGTTTCATCTGTGCCTCCCACCAGGCAGATAGAACATGGATCTGTGTGCACAGCCCTCAATGGACACAACTCAGGCTTAGCCACCCAAACAACTACAAAAACCATTCTGAAACCTTGCTCTTCTGTTTCCTCCTAGGTAAAAGAAATAACTGGAAAACAAAAACTGCCCTCAAGGATTATCATCCAGAAAAATAACGGTATACTGCTAAATTTATTTCACACAAATACACACACACACACAAATATGCATTGGGTATTAGGTGACAGGGACCAAGATATAAAGATATGAAGTATCTGGCATGTGCCAGACAATTATATAAAGGGGTAAAAGACTATTTTTAGAATAGCAGTTGGAGGTAGATGTTGAGTTCACAAAATGGCACAGGAGAATGAGGGTCCCCTTAAATGCAATTGGTTTCTCTCTTACATAGGTACAAAGAAAGTGCATGGAGGGGAAAAAAAAAAATCACTAGACTCAAGAAGCATCAAGACAAAAATGGTCTTCTATTTGTAACCCCAACACCTAGCTCAGCTCATAGTAGCCACAGTGAGTAGCTAATTAAATGTTACTTAAGCATTAAGTGAATTCACTGGAAACTGAATCACCACCACACTCTGGAGTAGCATTTTCTGATAAACACTATGAGTTCCTGCCCTTACCTTCAAGAGCTGAGTTTCAGCTAATAAGAGGAGGGGGGCTGAGAAGAAAATAAACAAACCCTTCACAAAAACTGGACAGAGAGAAATGTATTAAGGATGCTTACTAAATGCCTCTGTTAGGCATTTTACATACTCAATTCCAACAATCCACAAACTTTATACAATGTACACCTGCACAGTTCCCCAGTGATAAAGCAGCACGCCGGTGGTCTTCAACCTTCTCACATCTGCAGACCAGAGGTTGAAGGACACTCCTTTAATCCTCAGGACAACTGGGTTGATGACACCATCCCATTTCACAGATGTGACAACTGAACCTCACTAGGATTTATTAACTTACCAAAAAAAGTTCAGACAATAAGGCCGAATTTAAAGCAGGATTTAATTCCAAAGCTATTTCCACTATACCTTGATTTACATGTCTTTGATTTTTATATTTCATCTTAACATTTGTAGAACAAAAATGAGAATAACAGGTGCCTTGAATTATCAAGTGTCTTAAAAATTTTTTACTCATGTTAAGACATTTTTACCCATGTATGTTATGAAGTCATTTCTAAAATATCTTGACTCAAAAAGACAAATTATAATTGTTAACAGTTGCACATATATTTCTTATGCTTCCACATGAGTGGCAGATTAGAGGTAAGGAGTTCAACCTGGATCTTTATTTAAATCGATTTTTTTTCATGTGTTGCCCAAAAAAAAAAAAAAGCAAATGAACCCAAGGCCTCATATATGCAAAAACATTCTTCCTACCTCTGAATTACAACCGTAGCTCCCGTTTTTATATTTTGATCTGCACAATTATAGATCTAAACAAACGTGTAGAACATGATCGCAGAACATACCATTTTAAGTACTTATGCTGAAAATTAAGATAGTTTTAGATCATTCCACTGACTACATGTCGAGAGAAACAGTAAATTAATCAAGATTTGGTTCGAGGGTTGTGGAGAAGGAAAGCTGGTGAAAAATATCCCCGAAAAATGACCTAAAATTTAGAAAATACAACTGATTAACTCCAAGACATACTGAGTTCCAAGTCCATCTTAAGTGGACAACTCTGGTAAAAGTGTTTCTCATGCTGACTATTAAGTGTCCTGAAGAATTTCAAGTCATTATTAAAAAATTGGAGAGAACAAATTAAAGTAGCTTACCTCTAAAACGGAATCACAACACTATAATTTGTATCTTTGTGTACATTAAATGTGGCAGACACAAGGGCAATTCCAGAGGGTGGTTGGTGTACATACTATTTGGCACAATAATGAACGTTTATAAATACTGCCATAATAATGCTGCCAGGATTTACATTCTAATTTTGTAAACACAGCCATCATTTCTTGAAGCTGTAGCTTGTTTTAATGTTGGGCTTATCCATTTCTTTAAAGGGCTTCTGGTGACCCTTAGGACTTATCAATACTGTATTCACACATGTTGATTTTCAATGGAGCTCACCTAAAACTTACCTATGTTATAACGCAATGTTACTTCAACTTCAATATGACCTAAAAAATTACTGTATTCATTTCACTAAATATGTGGTAAGTAGCTCGGATTTACCAGCAGGATCAAATTCCAAAGTAGTTTCCACTGTACATCATGACAAAGCTTTTTATCTTCCTAAATTCAAAGCTTTTTTGCATGCGCTGACAAAATCTCTTCAAATCAGGGTTATTTACTAGTAGTTAAGAGATTGTGAAATGAACATTTCTCATCGTTCTCACACCTATTCCACAAAATGCACAAGACACCTACAGCATCTATCTTATATATTAACACGCTTTTTAAAAACCCAGTCTTAACTGATTCGTAAGCTAATGGCAATTGGTTTACAATACCTTAAAAATTCCAGAATAGAGCTTCACTCCTTACCACATCATGTTTTTTTCACCAGTCATCTCTCAACTTGAGATCTTTTCCACTTCAATCCCCCTAATGCCCGCCCCCCTCCAAAATATTCTGCAATCATCTCAAAATCGCAGGCAGTGGGTTGATCCCAAATCACGGCTCCCATCTCTAATTCTCCTTCGAAGCTCGGCTGTCGGCAATTTTGGCCTCCAGGTCTCATCTGCCTTCAGCGTGCATATTCTCGGTAGCGCCCCGACCCCTTCATAAACACAAACCCCAGACACTTTTTTTTAACACGGACTCGACCTGAGCCTGCCCAAGGGGCGTTTAAGAAAAAAGAGAGAGAGAGAGAGAGAGAGAGAAAGGGGAAGGAGGGAAAAAATCAGTCGAAAAATTTACCCTCCCATTCTAAAAGTCTCCCCGACAGCGTCTGCATTCTGAGCCATTTCAAACGCAGTTGCCACATGCAAATCTAATACCCCCCCTTTTTCGGTGTCCGTGTGCGCGGGGGGGCGGGGGTTGTCGTGTTGACCAACAATCCGCGCCTCCCGCTCTCGGGCTCGATCTCCGGCTCAGGGTCTCGTCCGAGCCGGGGGCGGGCGGGGGTGGGGCGGGGGCCAGGCCCCGTTGCAGCTCCGCAGCGAGGAGGCTCCGCGGCCAGCCGCCGCTCTCACGCTTCCCTGGAACGGGATCGCGGGCAGCAAACACGCCAGCGACACCAGCCCCCACCCCGGAGGCTGCGGTGCGTGTGCGGGGCTGGGGGCGTCCGCGTCTCGCCGACCCCCTCAGGCGCGCGCGGCTCAATTGTCCCCGCGGCGCCGCGGGGGGCGGGGGTCCCCGGCTGCCCCGGGCCTCGGCCGGGCCCCGCTCGCGTCCCCGAGTCCCCGAGTCCCCGCGGGCCGGGACTGACAGTTAGGGCGGCCGAGGCCGCGGCCTCCCGCCCCACCGAGCCGCGCACGCACCCGCCTCAGGCCGCGGCGGCCGCGCTGACTGACCTGTCGTCGCCCCCGCAGCCGCGCCGCGGCCGCCTCACTGGTCGTCGTCGCCCGCGCCCGCCGCCTCCGCCCGCCACCGCCTCGTTCCCGATCGCTGCCGCCACCGCCGGGGCTCATGCGGGACTCGCGCTCCGTCCTCCCGAGGCCAAGGCCGAGGCCGAGGCCGGCCGAGCGGGCCGCCGCGGACGCGCCGAGCGCAGCGAACGAGGCGCCGCCGCCGCCCGCGGCCCACACAGCCGGGCGGCCTGAGGCGAAAGCGCGTCGGCGCTGGCGGCCGAGGGCGACGCGGGGCGGGAGAGGCGCGGGCGAGCGAGCCGAGGGCGCTGCGGCGAGCTTCCGGCGGCGAAGGGGGGAGGCAAGAGCCCGCTCGGTCTCCTGCAGCCAGTCACCCCGAGCCCGGCGCCACCATGTTGGGGGGGAGGCGGGGGAGACGCGCACGTCGCGGCCGCGGCGCAGGCTGGGAGGACCCGGCGGGGCGGGCCGCGGCTCCGATCCCGGCAGGCAGCGCGCGCGGCCCTGCCGGCCCAGGGCTCCGGGCCCCGCGCGCAGGCGCGAGGGGCGGGTCCCGGGCGCGCGCGGGAGACCGCGGCGCGCCGGCCCCGCCCACTCTCGCGCGATCCGCCCTCCTCGCGCTCGTCGTGCCCCCGGCGCGGGGGCGCCTGGGAAGGGGAAGTGGGGGCGCCGCTCCGCGGTACTCCCACCGGCATCCGTCGCCATCTTGGCGCCGGGCTGGGGGCGCAACGCCGCGGCCGGCCAGGAGGAGGGGGCTGGGCGTGCCTCACTCCCCGGGCCCCCGGGAGTGTGAGAGGCGCCCCCGGCGCGGGCCCGCCCGGCGAGAAACGTGCGAGGCCCATGCTGACGAGGCCGCGCGAATCGCCCCAGAAGCCGACCTCGAAGGCTTGGATGACGTCCACCCCCGGGAGGACACGGAGCCACCCGATCCCGGCGTCCCCGCTCCCCGGGCTGCCGTTGTCGCGGTGGCCCGAGTATGGGGGCGGCGTGCAGGGGCCAAGGTCACTCGCTTAAGCCCTTTGCCGGCACGTGATGTGTGCCTAGGGGCCACGCAAGTCCAAGTTCCGAGGCCTGCGGATCTGACCTTCTGCAGCTCGTACATAGGGGGCTTCTGGGTGGACCCCAGCTGCCCACAGGACAGTCGGGCCAGCGGAGCCCTGCATATTCACGGTTGCATTTTCGAAGGATGCTTTTTGCTCTTTTTTTTTTTACCCCCATGGCTCTGCAACATTGAGCAAACAGAGCTGGTTAGTGGAATCACTAACGAGCAGTATTCTATCTGGTATTTAAGACTTTGGGATCACAGCCCACCGTCCCTCCTGTATTCCGCCGTTATCCTTAAAGCGTCTTTTAGTCTCAGTGGTAGGGCGTTTGCCTTGCATGTGGCCGACCTGGGTTCGATCCCCGGCATCCCATATGGTCCCCCAAGCACCTCCGGGAGTGATTCCTGGGTACAGAGCCAGGAATAACCCCTGAGCATCGCCGGGTGTGACCCAAAAAGCAAAACCAAAACAAAAATTAAAAAAATAAAGCAACTTTTATTCTATGGTCGAGGGTATTATATATATATATATATATATATATATTAGATGGTACACATTAGGTCATACACACAAACCCCGCTTGCCAATTAATGCGAGCTATAAGGGGAGAAAAACCCAAAAATATGGTCAACTCAAAATAAGTAAAAAAGTGATTTATTCTCAAGACTATGGGGATACGTGGCAATATTAGAACACGTCCTATTTTAAATTTTAGTTCCTATTCCTTCAGTATACAGTATTTTAATTCCCAAAGTAGTTTTTTCACCACCACCATCCCCCAACCTCAGATAATTGAATTTTTTCATTCAGTTTTATAGAAGAGGCTAGCTGAAATCATAGCCTTTCAGTATTTCTCTTTGCTTGTTGTCAAAATAGGCTACCGAGCATGGGAATGTTAAAGAGAAATGGAGATGTTAAAGAGAAATTTTGGCAAAATGTTACTACTTCATGGACATTTTAGCCCTTTACACTCTCTTGCTTCCTCTTAAAAACGTCAGAATAAGTGAAATGTAACTATGATGTATCAAAATGTTGCCGAAGTGCCTGTACTCCAAAAGAGAATAAAGACAAGAGAAAGAAGAAAATTTTTTAAATGTCAGAATGTCTTCGGTTCTTAGCTGAGTTCATAGAGGGTCCAGATTTCCTCCATTTCCATGGAGGAAATCACACATAGCTCTTCAGTTCATTAATATTAAATATATACTGTCTGACAACAGTGTTGGCTTTATTTAAAAAGAACTACTTTGTGCTCTCAAATGTGCAATGTTTGCTGGCAAAAATTGTGTGAATATTGTTGAGATACGTCACTGATGCATACATGTGTGTTTAATTTTACCAGATTTTTCTGTTTTTTTGTTTTATTTTATTGTGGGGCAAGGGGCTCCCTACTAAGTAAGCCATAAAAAAAGTTAAGACTATTCTGGTCAAAACAAGACACAACCGCTTACAATGTTTTTTATTCCAGGTATAAAGTGAAAGATTATTTGTTGCTTTGTTAGTTTATTTATTTTTAGCACAGTGTGTGAATTCCTTGGATGAACTTGGAGCATTATGGTTCAGGGAAGGGCTGTTCTTGGGGGAAACAATAAAAGATCAATAACTTGCAACCCAGTGAGGAGCGCGTCAAAGCAGCCTTTTCAGAATGGTCCAGAGCTCATCCTTCTGTGGATTTGTCTAATACACATAAAAGCTGATTTGGGGATTGTTTTCTTAACAGGGTTTATTGGGCATTCCATAATTTTTGCTACTAGTTGGTAAAGAGCACTCAGAAATACAAAAACACAATTTTGCATTATCTGACCGAAGTATGATAGGAGAATTCATGTTGCCACTTTTGAGCTTGCTGCAAAGTGTTACTCTCTCAAGGGAAGAAGAGTCTGAGTTCTGGGGTGCAGAACTAACAGTCCTTAAGGAGCACTTTGAACGCAGTTGGTTCCATAAAGAACATTGCCTGGTGTGTGGGTGCTCACTGCATGTCCACTGATAATAGCACAGCGTGCCCTCACTTATGTCCCCCACAGGCTCTGTGAATGATAAATCAGCCCATGTTGCATGCAAGCAGATACTCGAGTAGCCTTTTGTTCTCTCTGAGCAGGGATTGTTTCTTTCTCAGGAAAGAAGAGAAGGAAAAAAGAAAAAGCTTTGTGATTCTAAGACCTGCATCCATATCATCCTGACCTCTGTCTTCTCTGTGTTAATTAGCATGGCACAATGCAGACAGGAAGTCTTCCCTTAATCCTCCCCTTCCTAAATATCTGTACCCTTCCTTTCTACAGCAAATTGAGCTAGGGGAGAGGAGTCTGTTCCTCTGTATTCCGCTCTCCTGCTGTCCCTCTATGCTCCCTCCCTGGCACCCCTCTGGTGATTTCCTTCCATGTGTTTTCCTCCAAAATTGATTGTCCCATTTTATTCTTCTGTCCACCTTACACCTGGACCCATCTCTGGGATACACATCCACCTTATAGTTAATGCTGTTTATATTTATCTTTTTTTTTTAACATTGTATGGTGATGGAGACTATTCTGATATACATTGTACACAAAATAAGATCTTTGAGAACAAAGCACAAGACATGCAATGTTGGATTCCTCCACTGGATCCCAGATGTGACTGATAGGAGAAAAGAAGTTTCAACGGGAATGTTGGGTGAGAAACCATAAGTCATCTGAAGCACAAATGCACACGTCTGATGTGACACACAACAAGGGCAGCATTGGCAGCAGTGCCTCCAAGTGGTGCATCTCCATCAGTAATGACTTGGCTCAAGCCCCACCCTTGCTTCTCAGTGTTCATGGTATCTACCTCTTTGCAGCCTGACACACCACTGACCCCAGACAGCATCCTTGACACAGCTCTGCTCCTGTGTCTCCATCTGAATTTCAGATACACACCTCACCCAGAAAGTTTGACCCAAATCTTCAACCTGTGCTTGCAAGCTTGTACTGGATGTTCTCCTGGCACCACAAGATGTGAACATGTCTGAGATGGACCCGTGCAGCTTCTAGACCAGACTAAAAGAAGTGGGAGGCCCCCTGCCCTTACCCTTTCCTGGCTGGAATATTGCAAGGGTCATGCCTCCCAGGGCACGGGGCCCTGGAGAACCTCCAGAATTAGAGTCAGGGTTTGCTGGCACCTTATAGTGACACTGTGATTTGTTGTGGTGGTTCTAGATTGCCTTTTCTACACCTGACCTCCTATCTTCATAGGCAGTGAAGAAACGGAAGGTGCAAAGTTGTGGTCTGTGGAGTTAGGGAAACTGTCTACATTCCCTATTTAGGGACCTGCTGCCTGAGACAGCCACTGGTTGTGACAATGGTCATAGCCTTGCTCTCTCCCTTCCCTGCTCCTTCTGGCCACTGGGAAACAGTTACATCCTGATGACTAGAAGATTATTTTCCCCTGTATTCTTTTGTTGTTGTTGTTGTTCTGAACAATACTCTGGAACTTAACCTAAAAAAATAGGATTTAGGGTTAACAGGAGAAGGAGTTAAGAATGCCAGTTCCCAATCTCTTAGCAGGTGTAAAAATGCTGGGCAAAGTACCAAGCTCTTTTACTCATCTCTGTCCAGTATTTGTGAGGATTCAATGTTTGTAGATGTGAAGATCTTCCAGTAGTGCTGGGTCCGTAGCATAAGCTCAGTGAAGATGAGATCTGTGTTTGTTTGGTTGTTTTTTTAAAAATTCCATACAAATTCCTGTTCTTCCACTTGCCGGTCTTCTATTCCTCATCTATGAAGTGGAGGGAATAATCCTACTCAGCTCAGTGGGGTACTATGAGCTCAGTCCAGAATTCTCTAGCTGCTCTGAGAGGTTGGGTACAGCAGTGACTAAACTGAAGAGCCTGCCCTAGTGATATGTAGGGCCCAACAGAGGTGTGTCTGAATGTGGCTGCTAAGGAAGGACAATAAGGCTAGGTGAAAAGTCTAGAGAATAATGCAGGGGGCCAGAGAAGAGCTCCATGGCACAGTAAGAACAAAGGAACGGGCTGAGGGACTCTGACAGGAAGAAGGATGTGGGCTGAGAAGGCTCTAAGGCAGAAACAGAAACAGGCCTAAAGAAACCCAGGAAGACAGTGAGGGGGGCTGTCAGAGGAATTAAGTAAACTCAGAACCATGAGCCATCACCTGTGCTGGCTGCATCCCACAGCTGAAAGATGGCACCGACTCCCAGAACCAGTCAGCTCAGAAGCCCCTGAAAAGGGCTGGGAGCCTTACAACAAGGTCCGACCTGGAGGGGTCAGTCTTTCTTCCATGTAGAGATGAACAGAGCACCTACTGGGTTAGTGCCTGCCGCATGGGATGTGTTCATTGACAACTAATAAACACTTTCCTCTGCCACTTGCATTGCACCAGCCCTGTTGGTGGAGAATTGCCCGGATGGGTCCCTAGGGCCTCCTGGGTACTGCTCCAAAGAATAATAAATACCATTTTAAAAAAATAAGCACATA